AACCCTTCTCCCTAGTTTCTTGGCCCGCCACGCTGCTGTCTGTCCAGGCCTTTGTCCATCATCCTCCCAACAATCTCTATGCTATTCGCCTCCGTTCTTCTCCTGTTGAGATCATTGAGTCTGTCGCCCAGTACGTTGTTGCTGGAACACCTGTCTCCGAGTCAGAAACGTAAGCCTGTCTCCGAGTCAGAAACGTAAGCCTGTCTCCGAGTCAGAAACGTAAGCCTGTCTCCGAGTCAGAAACGTAAGCCTGTCTCCGAGTCAGAAACGTAAGCCTGTCTCCGAGTCAGAAACGTAAGCCTGTCTCCGAGTCAGAAACGTAAGCCTGTCTCCGAGTCAGAAACGTAAGCCTGTCTCCGAGTCAGAAACGTAAGCCTGTCTCCGAGTCAGAAACGTAAGCCTGTCTCCGAGTCAGAAACGTAAGCCTGTCTCCGAGTCAGAAACGTAAGCCTGTCTCCGAGTCAGAAACGTAAGCCTGTCTCCGAGTCAGAAACGTAAGCCTGTCTCCGAGTCAGAAACGTAAGCCTGTCTCCGAGTCAGAAACGTAAGCCTGTCTCCTCTCTTTGCTCCTCCCCTGCAGGTAAGAAGGCATTGCTTTCTTCCTCGACCCCGACCTCTGACCCTTTTGCTTCTTCCCTTCCCATTTCGGTGGTTAGGCCCCCTGTCCCAGCTATGGAGGTTTCTTTAACCCCCGATTCCCTCTCAGTTGCTGCCTTTGTTGAGGTGCGCTCCCAGGTTTCTGCCCCCCTCCCCCCCCCACCCATACAGAACGTCATTGACAGCCCCTTTCGGTTGTCTCCTCCTCCGGACCCCATCAGTCCGCCTCTGGTCTTCCCTCCCCTCTCTTCCCTCCATCCTTACTCGGTTTACCCATGCCCACCAACCCTGATTTTGCGGATCCTGAGCTTATTTAATACTGTGCTCTTCTTTACCTTTGTTTCTTCATTGTTCTCTGTTGCTGTCCTTTCTCTTTTTGATAATGTCTATTCTTCAATGGAATATTCATGAAATTTATGCCCACTTCCATGAACTCCAACTTCTGATTACAGTTTTCCCCACTTTGTGTTTGTCTCCAGGAGCCAATGCTTGGTGTTCATCCTGGTCACTTTCATGGATATTCAATTCCCCCCCCCCCCAGCTCCATCTGGGTCCCATAACTCTTCTGCTCTCTTGATTCGTATTGATATTCCCATCATCCCCCTACTTTTTCCATCACTTATCCATTGTTCTGCTGCCTGTGTTTTTGTAAGTAAATGGTATACAGTCTGTTCCATTTATCTCCTAAATATCCCACTTTCTATCCTGATTTTAAGCAGCACCTGGACTCCTTGTCAGTGCTCCTGTTGGGTGATTTCAACTTACCCTCTCGGGTGATGTTCTGACAAACGCCCGAGGCCGCCTTCTCGAACAGTTTGCCCTCTCTTCTTCCCTGTCTCTCCTGAATTCTGGTGAGCCCACTCATGTGAACTCTCGGACACGCACCCTTTCCTGTCTTGATCTTTCGCTCTGCTCGTCTCTTTACTTAGATTTCACGTGGCGGGTTCTTGATGACCTCCATAAGTGACCATTTCCCCATCGTCGTTTACTTTTTCTCTTTCCACCCTCCCCTCTCCTTCCCTAGGTGGCAGTTTGCCAAGGCTGACTAGAACCTATTCACCGTCCATGCTACTCTCTTGACCTCTCCTCTCTGCCTCTTCATCATGCCCTCCTCCTCTTTCATGACAGTCTTCGACGCTGCCCTCCTCTCTGTTCCTTTCTCTACCTCCCGGGGCATGCAGAAGTGGTGGAATGTGGACTGTGCTCGGGTTGTCCCCTGTAAGCGTGCATCCTGGAAGAAACGCTGATGCGAGCAGACGGCTAATTTTTTGTTTCAGAAGGCATGTGCAGTGGCTCACTAGGACCATGCATACAGCTAAACGTGAGAGTTGGAAACCATATGTTTTCGCCATTACGTCCGATACTCCTTTGCCGCAGATCTGGAAGAAGATCCGCAAGATTGCTGGCAAGTTAGTTAGATGACATTCATTATGAGATGCTTCATCTCCTTGCACGTCTCGGTATTTACCGAGTCTGTATTACTAGGTCCGGGAGTCATCGTCAGTCCCTGAGGGCTTGCTGGATGCCGCTGTACCCCCCTGTACAGAAACTGGGGTCTCTCAGGACATTCCCTCAGAACTTCCGCCCTATTGCCCTCATAAGTTGTCTGCAAACTCTTTGACCGTATGGTAAATGTTCGTCTGATGTGGTTCTTGGAACACCATCAGACGAACACCCCATTCTACTTCTCAATTTGGTTTTCACAAGTGCCGCAGCATGACTGATGTCCTGGTGAACTTGGAGGTCTACATTTGTAGTGCTTTTGTTGTGAAGACCTCCATTGTCCCTGTTTTTTTATACCTGAAAAAGGCTTATGACATCTGGAGATACCATATTCTGTCTCAACTTCGTTCTTTTGGCCTTCGGGGTAACCTCCCTCTCTTCCTTCAAAGCTTCCTCTCTCGTCCTTCCTTTAGTCAGGCTTGGTGCCACTCTGCCTCTTTTCGGCAATACAAAGTGTACCCCAAGGTAGTGTTCTGAGCACTACTATCTTTCTGGTTGCCATTAATGGTCTTCTTTCCTCCCTTCTAGCATCTTCTATACTCTTTGTCGACAATCTATGTTGACGATCTTACTCTTTGCTGTCAAGGTGATGATTCACCTTTCCTTCAACGGCGGCTTCACCTTGCGATTGATGCCGTATCTTCTTGGGCCACCAATCATGGCTTCAAGTTTTCTACTACTAAGACTTGTGCCATGACTTTTACTCGGAAGCGGGTCGTTCTTTGTCCCTCTGTCACTTTGATCGTCACCTTGAATACAAAGATTCCACGAAGCTTTTGGGGTTAATCTTTGACACTCGTTTGTCTTGGTCGCCCCATATCTCTTACCTCCGTGTTGAATGCTCTAACGCCCTTAACCTACTTAAGATTTTGTCCCATACTTCTTGGAGTGGATAGACGCACGCTCCTCTATTTGCCTTCCTCCCTCGTCCTGTCTAAACTCTATTATGGTTGCCCTGCATACTCTTCTGCTTCTCCTCCTACTCTTCGCTGTCTTGATCCTTTGCACCATACTCTGTTGCGCCTCAGCTCTGGTGCATTGTGTTCAACTCCTACTCTCAGCTTGTACGCTGACATTGGCTTCCTGTCTCTTCAGGACCGCTGTGATCGCTACAGTCTTCGTTATCTTTCGCGATCCTTCCAGCATCCTCACTCTCTCCTCTATCGTGCTTTCACTTTTACCCTCCTGTAGTTCTTGTTTCTCTTCACCACCTCCCTCTTTCTGTCCGTTTGACTCGCTTATAAGATTTTCTTTGTTCATATTACTAATGTTTCTCCTCGTATTGTTCCATCCTTGCCGCCATGGAGGGTCCCCCTTCCCAAATTTTGTAATTCTCTGACCCGCATTACTAAAGACTTTAGCCCTCTTACGGTTCTGAAACACCTCTTCCTTGAGCACTTTTCTTCTCACTCCCATCCATTCCCATCTTCACCGATGGGTCTAAGTCTGCTGACAGTGTGGGCTACTCTGTTGTTTTTCCTGACAACACTTATATGTGTCGCCTTCCTCCGGAGGCTAGCATCTTCACAGCAGAACTTTATGCTCTTCGTCTCTTGCTTTCCAAGTGTCAATCCTCCTTTGTGGTGGTAGTTGACTCTCGTAGTGGCCTCATGACTTTAGGGTCCTTTAATCCGGTCCACCCAATGGTCATCGAGATTCAACATTGGCTGTTTCTTATCTCCAGTAAATTTAAGTTGGTTGAGTTTTGCTGGGTTCCCAGCCATGTTGGTGTCTCTTTAAATGAGCGAGCGGATGCTGCCACTAAGGAAGCTATCCGCACTTGTCCCATCTCCTGTAAAGGTATTCCTTATTCCGATTTTTACCCAGTTATTCATGCCTCCATCTTTGCCCGCTGGCAGCGTTGTTGGTCTCCTGTTATTGGTAACAAACTGCGTACCTTTAAGAGTCGTGTGTCCCAGTGGCCTTCCTCCTACCACTGTAACCGGAGGTGAGAAACTGCTCTGGCTAGGTTACATATTGGTCATACCCGTTTAACTCATGGTCACTTAATGGAGCGCTGCCCTGCTCCTTATTTTCCAAATTGCATTGTCCCTCTTATGGTCGTGCATATCCTTGTTGAATGTCCTGACTTCCAGGACGAGCGTGTGTGTTGTTTTCCGACCGTCCCCCGCGGTTGCTTGTCCCTCGATAGAATTCTTGGCGATTCGGATACTTTTGATTTTGTTCGCCTTATGCGTTTCTGTTCTCGTATTGGCATCCTTAGTGATATTTTGCGCCCTCTGATTATCCTGCAGATTTGAAGGTGCTACATAGCCTTCTATCTATCTATAGATAGATAGGAGGAGACTCCGCACTTGACCCCGTTTCCCACAAAGGCATTGCTTATTTCGACTTCTACCCAGTTATTCATTCCTAAATCCATGTACGTTGGCAGGATCCCTGGTCTTTTGGTACTGGTAACAAACTGCGTGCTCTTAAGGGAAGCGTGTCCCCATGGCCTTCCTCCTACCACTGCAACCGCCGGTGGAAAACGGTTTTGGTGAGGATACGTATTGGCTGTACCCGTTTAACTCACGGGCACTTAATTGGGCGCCGCCCTGCTCCTAATTCTCCAAACTGCGTTGACCGTCTTAGTCTTGCATATCCTTGTTGAATGTCCTAGCTTCAAGGATGTGCATGCATCTAGCTTCCTAACTGGCCCGCACTTCCCAACTTGTCCCTCAAAAGAATCCTTGGTGAATTTGATTCCTTTGATGTACGCTTTTGTTCTCGTTTTAGCATGTTTAGATGCTAATGTAGTGACTTTTTCAATATCCCCCACACACATGACGGTGCTACATAACCTCCCCGGTTTGGTGCCTTCTTTTGATAATTACTTATTACTATACTGAATTTCATGTTTCTTTAATACAAGCAAAATTTCATTTTTCAATCCTCAGATATGGTGGCGGTTGCAGGATGTGTAAATCGGCGTTTAACGCCAGCAGTAAATGCCCAATATCCCTGGTCTGCGGCCATATGATCTGTTCTCCCTGTGTCCTGGACTTGACGGAAAGTTACACATGCCCTGACTGCTTCACGAAGGTCAAAGATTCCTGGTTAACTGAAGACAATACTGATAACCAGTCGGAGTTGGAAGTACAGGAAATATCCGAGATAGAAGGAACTATAACTGTTCCATACTCGACCCCTCCTTTAGGGTCCATGTCTTCTACCCCAATACGTTCGACTGGTGATGTCTCAACCTTACCAATGGTTTCAACTCCCAGGGAGACATTAGCACTCACTCCAACTCTTCCACCACATGGCTCCAGCACCCTGACTCAACCCATCAACGTTGCTGTTTTGAAGTTAACTACTCATAATCAGCTCACAGAATGCGCCACTGGTGCTCCTGCACCGCCCAGGGAAAGCGCCGCTGGAGCTCCTGTGAATCCCAGGGGGGAAGGCACTGATACTAAAACACAGCCCACGGGGAGTAAATCTGGGACACCTGAACAGCCCACGGGGCGTGCCAATTATAATATACCACCCGAGACGTGGGATATGTTCAAGCTATGGATCTTGCAGAAAGTCGATGAATACGGTTTTGATGGTGAAGCAATTTGGAATAATTTAAATCAATCTGAAATGTTGATGTTAGATAGATTGTTGTATGGAAAGGATGACGACGCATATCAATCACAGAGGAAAGTTGCCCCTTCAACTAGGCCTGAAAACTCTCACACACACATGATTGACGGACCTGGAGGTGAAGAACCTTTGGTAACATCACGTGTTCCTCTTCCAGGTTCACACGGGCAATGCGGTGCCCCTTCTCCGGGTCCACAGGAGCGCAGCGTGGTCCCTTCTCCGGATCCACTGGGGCATGGCGTGGCCCCATCTACGGATCCACTGGGGAGTGGCATGGCCCTTTCTCCAAGTCGACTGGGGCGCGGCGTGGCCCCTTCTCCAGGTCCAAAGGGGCAAGGCGTGGCCCCTTCTCTGGGTTCTCAGGGGCGCGGTGTGTCCCCTTGTCCGGGTCCACAGGGGCGTGGCGTGGCCCCTTCTCCGGGTCCACTGGGGCACGTCGTGGCCCCATCTACGGGTCCACTGGGGCGTGGCGTGGCCCCATCTACGGGTCCACTGGGGCGTGGCGTGGCCCCTTCTCCGGGTCCACCTGGGCGTGGCGTGGCCCCTTCTCCGGGTCCACCTGGGCGTGGCGTGGCCCCTTCTCCGGGTCCACCTGGGCGTGGCGTGGCCCCTTCTCCGGGTCCACCTGGGCGTGGCGTGGCTCCTTCTCCGGGTCCACCTGGGCGTGGCGTGGCCCCTTCTCCGGGTCCACCTGGGCGTGGCGTGGCCCCTTCTCCGGGTCCACCTGGGCTTGGCGTGGCTCCTTCTCCGGGTCCACAGGGGTGCGGCGTTACCCCTTCTCCAGGTCAACGGGGGTCCAACGTTGCCCTTGCACCTGAATACGAACAATATGTTGATCTAAGAGCTAAACATAAGAGAGCTATGTTATTTCTACATCAAAATAAAAACACTGTTGTCCGAATAGAGCGCGCGAAACTAGTGTCACACCTGGATGACCTTCCACTTGCACTTGACTATCTGGCTCAACATCCAAACGCTTTAACCTTTTTAGCTCGGCATAAAGCATCTGAGTCACTTCAGTCTCGGCATCCTCAGTCTTACTATGTCCTTATAAGAGTTTCGCAAGGTGATATTTTGGTACAGACTAGAGAGGGTGCTGCCTCTGTGGCTGGGCCTCCTCAGGATGAAGCTGGCTCAAATGAAACGGAGAGTAGGGTCCCTCCGCTTCCTTCAGCAGAACTATTTAAGCAGGACGAACCATGCGAGCCTCTACCTCGACCTCGACCCAGACGCTCAAAAAAAAGTGATTCATCTATGCCCAAGAATTCGTCCCTGGTGAATGGAGTTGTGTGTGTCCACGATGGCTTCCCAGTATATTTGCATTGTTCTAACTGTCAACTGATTATTTGCAACACGTGCCATAGATCCCAAAATATTCATCCACAAAGTTTATTTCGTATCTATCCTGCCAGTCAGCCAAGTTAAAGTAAATCCTCTCCCACAAGTGTCTCAACTACTCCCACCAGTTACTCCTCAAGTGACTACAGAATTGACAGAAAGCGAAGCATATCAAAGCAGCAGGCAATGCCAGAGTAACAAATGACTAATTGCTAACGAAATCGAACATTCCGCCGTATGGATGAAGCAACTTAAATACCAACATTGACAAAGGAAAACACAAAGGTAAGGTTCAATGTGTGGTGTAAATAGTTTTAAAAAAATCACATTTTTAATTAAAAATTAAAGAATTTTACGAAGGTTTTCCCCCCTTGCTGTCTAGCCCGTTGCTGCCGTGAGGGGGCTTGGTGGGTGGAGTGTGATGCTCCGTGGGTCAGTCCTCTGTCCTTTTGCAGCCTTATGCTCCTGCTGCTGCCTTAACCAATTTTGCCAGACCCTTTATCCTTTTCCTCGTGTTTCATTGTTCTCCCCCCCCCCCCCCCTCTTCTCCTATCAGTCATTTCCTGCAGACCTTTTGCCTGTTTTGATTATTCTTTCGACCTTCTTTTGTTTTGATGCCCGGGTGTTTGAGGAGGCATATACATAGCCTTCCCAGTTTGGTGCTTTCTTTTGATAATTACTTACTTACTTGAGGAGGCATACTCTTGCACCCGTAGAACTGTAGTACCCAACGTCTCGAGTGAGGGGAACCTTTTATTGTCAATCCTCCTTCGTCACTGAACCCACTCTCGAAGGACTCATGGTTCTTAAGGTTGCGTTTGTGGGGCGTATACTCACGACGCACCCCTGGGGGGCCCCGGCATGATCGGCGATAGCTTCTTGTTGGGTGTCCTTCCTCTAATTGTGGCTCCATGGTGGGTGTGGGGGCACATTCGTGTATGAAAGTTTTTCCTCGTTTTCATGGCTGATAATGTTTCTCTTGTACCTTCTCAGGCTCGTGGGGTGGGCGACCAAGCCCCCGAGTCGGACTGTGTTGGAAGACCAGGCCCTGTAGCCCCCGCTGCATTGGGCCCCGACGACCTGACTACTTCCCCTCAGCTCCCCTCACTCCTCTGCGGTAGAGTCCCCAGCCCCTAGTGATGACCTCCTCATCCCCTGGCACGGCTTCATCTCTCATTGTGACTACTGTGCCTTTTACCCCCTCTTGCTGGGGGTTCTCAATGCCGTTCCCACCACGGCCACACTCGTACGATCCCTTCCCGTAAAAATACCTACAACTCCTTGTTTGGTCCCCTACGTGGGCTAAATACTTTGATCTCCACCATCTGGATTCTACTCCTCAAAAGATTTCTCCCTCCATAAACACCTTGTTGATTCCGTAGATGCCTCTGTTAATTTTAACTCCAGCAGTTACGGTACGCGTGTCGTCGCTGCTCCTTCTCAGGATGCAGCTACTCGCTTAGCCACATTGTCCTGCATTAGAGAGACCCCTGTTCAGGTCTCCAAAAACGCTTGGCTAAATGCCAGTGATGGCACTGTTCTCCTCCCACACCATGTTGCAACTGGTGTTGGGGACCTCAAAGATTGCCATAAGGATATTAAACATATCCTATAGGGCTATAGGGGCCTCGTAGCCTGGTGGATAGCGCGCAGGACTCGTAATTCTGTGGCGCGGGTTCGATTCCCGCACGAGGCAGAAACAAATGGGCAAAGTTTCTTTCACCCTAAGTGCCCCTGTTACCTAGCAGTAAATAGGTACCTGGGAGTTAGTCAGCTGTCACGGGCTGCTTCCTGGGGTGTGTGTGTGGTGTGGGGAAAAAAAAAAAAAAAAAAAAGTTAGTAAACAGTTGATTGACAGTTGAGAGGCGGGCCGAAAGAGCAAAGCTCAACCCCCGTAAAAACACAACTAGTAAACACAACTAGTAAACACACATCCTCGAAGCCCAAGGCCATTCTGTCCTCCAGGTGGACACGTTTACTCGACCCCCTCGTGGTCGTCGCCGTCAGCCCCTTCTAGTTGTAAAAATCCCCTTTGATAGTAGGACCCTTCCGTCCTCTATTTTTCTTGCTGGTGCCAGATGCTCCGTTCAGGAGTACATTCCCTCTTTGCAATAAGTGTTGGAACTTCGGGCACGGTGTCTTCAAATGCACCAGTACTGTGTATCTGCTCCCCATGTGTGGGAACGATAGTCATTCTGAGTCCGAGTGCACTTCTCCCCAGGCTCGCTGCCTCAATTGCGGTGAGGCCCACCCTTCCTTCTCACGCTCGTGTGCACACTACAAACTCGAGGAAGCCGTCCCCAACTTGAAGCACCATGATCGTCTGTCTTTTCCTGAAGTGAGACGCCAAGTTCGTCGTCTCGCCCCTTTCGCGGGCGTCTCCTACGCTCGCGTGTTGCGTTCTACCTCTCCTCGTCCTTCCCACCTTCCTCAGTCTCTCAACCGTTTCCAGGCCTTAAACCCGACCACACCCATCACCTCCTCCCCTATTCCTTTGCCTCCTGTCCCAGATGGTCGCCCTCCTGGTTCTCCATCTGGGGTTTCTCCCCTTCCTACCCAGTCCACCATATCTCCTTTGTCTTCTTCCCCATCTCCCCCCACTCTTTCTTCCCGACTCTCCCCCAAGTCTCTTGACCCTCCACGCCACCTGTCTGTCCAGGCTGATATCTATCATCCTCCCAGCAATCTAAGTGTTATTCGCTCCCGCTCCTCTTCTCCTGCTGAGACCATTGAGTCTGTCTCCCTGTACGTAGTTACTGGAACGCCTGTCTCTTCGAGTCAGAAACGTAAGCCTGGCTCCTCTCCTTCCTCTGCAGTGGGTAAGAAGGCTTCGCTCTCTTCCTCGCCCCCTCCCTCTGACTCTATCACTACGTCCCCTCCCATTTCTGTGGTCGGACCCGCTGTCCCAGATATGGAGGTTTCTGATTCCCTCTCTGTTGCTGCCCTTTCTGAGGTGCACTCCCTGATTTCTGCCGACTGTCCTTGCCTGCTCCTCTCGGTTGTCTCCTCCTCCTCCGGACCCCGACAGTCCGCCTCTGGTCTGTTCTCTCGCTCCCTTACCTCTCTCTCCTTACTAAGTTTACCCATGCCCCCTAACCCTGATTTTGCTGACCCTGCTCCTGATCCTGAGATTCTTTAATAAACTGTGTTCTTCTTTACCTTTATTTCTTTCTTGTTCTCTGTTACTGTCCTTTCTCTTTGATAATGTCTATTCTTCAGTGGAATATTCATGAATTTTATGCTAACTTCCATGAACTCCAACTTCTAATTGCACAGTTTACACCACTTTGTGTTTGTCTCCAGGAGCCAATGCTTGGTGCTCGTTCTGGTCACTTTCGTGGTTATTCCTTTCTTTCTCCCCCCCCCCTTCCAGCTGTTGCTGGGGCCCATAACTCTACTGCTCTCTTAATTCGTTCTGATATTCCCTTCGTCCCCCTACTTCTTCCGTCACCTATCCATTGTTCTGCTGCCTGTGTTTTTGTGGGTAAATGGTATACGGTCTGTTCCGTTTATCTCCCTCTAAATGTCCCTCTTTCCCTTCCTGATCTTAAGCACCTCCTGGACTCCTTCCCAGAGCCGGTGCCCTTTTTGGGTGATTTCAACTGTCGACATTCCCTCTGGGGTGATGTTTTGACAAACACCCGAGGCCGTCTTCTCGAACCGTTCGTCCTCGCTTCTTCTCTCTCTTCTGAATTCTGGTGAGCCCACTCATGTGGACTCTCGAACTCGCACCCTTTCCTGGCTTGATCTTTCTCCCTGCTCATCGTCCCTTTACTTAGATTTCATGTGGCAGGTTCTTGATGACCTCCATAACAGTGATCATTTCTCCATCCTCGTTTCCTTTTTCTCTTTCCACCCTCCTCTCCTTCCCTAGGTGGCAGTTTGCCAAGGCTAACTGGTGCCTATTCACCCTCAGTGCTACTCTCTCTGACCTCTCCTCTCTGCCTCTTCCTCGCACCCTCCACCTTTTCTATGACACTGTCTTCAACGCTGCTCTCCACTCTATTCCTCGCTCTTCTTCCCGGGGTACACGGATGTGCGTTCCCTGGTGGAATGCGGACTGTGTTCGGGCTGTCCGCTGTAAGCGTGCAGCCTGGAAGAAACACCGCCGCCGGCAGACGGCCGATTCTTTTATTCTGTTTCGGAAGGGAAGTGCGGTGGCCCGTAGGACCATCCGTACAGCTAAACGTGAGGGTGGAAATCTTGTTTCCACCATTACATCCGATACTCCTCTGCCACAGATATGGATGAAGATCCGCAAGATTGCGGGGAAGTTCGTTCCAGATGTCTCGCCGGTTCTCCACTTTCGTGGCACTCTTGTGGCGGATCCAGTGAAGGTCGCAGCCGAACTGGGTTCCCACTTTTCTTCTGTTAGCTCTGGTTTTCATTTTCCTCAATCCTTCCTTCCTTTGTAAGCCTGTTCTTGAATCTTATCCTTTAGATTTCCACAATCATCTCCGCCTTCCCTATAATGATCCTTTCTCTCTTTCTGAACTTCAGTCTGCCCTGGCCCTCTGCGGATCTATGGCAGTGGGTTCAGATGACGTTCATTATGACATGCTTCTCCATCTCCCTCTGTGCACGTCTCAGTATTTACTGAGTGTATAACCAGGTCTGGGAGTCGTCGTCTGTCCCTGAGGACTAGCTCGACGCTGTTGTACTCCCTATTCGGAAACCAGGGTCCCTTGGTATGTCCCCTAAGGACTTCCACCCTATTGCTCTCACGAGTTGTGTTTGCAAGCTCTTTGAGCGTATGGTAAATGTCCGCCTGATGTGGTTCTTGGAACACCATCACCACTTCTCTCCTTTTCAATTTGGTTTTCGCAAGTGCCGCAGCACGACTGATGTCCTGGTGAACTTGGAGGTCTATATTCGTACTGCTTTTGCTGCGAAGACCTCCGTTGTTGCTGTCCTTTTTGACCTGGAAAAGGTTTATGTCACGACTTGGAGATACTATATTCTGTCCCAACTTCGTTCTTTTCGCCTTCATGGTAATCTCCCTCTCTTTCTTCAAAACTTTCTCTCTCTCGTCGTACCTTTCGAGTCAGGCTTGGTGCCACTCTCTCTGCCTCTTTTCGGCAGTATGAATGTTTTCCTCCCTTCCTTCTGGCATCTTCTCCACTCTTTATGTTGACGATCTCATTCTTTGCTGTCGGGGTGATGATTCGCCTCTACTTCAACGGCGGCTTCAACTTGCGATTGATGCCGTGTCATCTTGGGTCACCAATCATGACTTCAAGTTCTCTACTACTAAGACTTGTGTCATGACTTTTACTCGGAAGCGG